AAAAAAAAAAAAAAAAAGGTTGAGAAGGGAGAGGGTTGATACGTTGAGGGGTTGTTAACCAATGTCATAAAACAATACGTGTACTACTGTTTAATGAGAAACTACTTGTTCTGTAAACCTTCACCTGAAGTAGAATAATAAAAAAAGAAAAAAGAAAGAAACAAGCAGAGTACTGTAGGTGATCTTTTGCTGGTTCAAGACCTAGAATTAAAAAGACAAATGATGGTGATGGTGGAGAAGAAAGATTGCTCCTATTCCCTTGGTCAGCCTTCTCTCTATTCTGTACAGTGCTCTGAGAGAAAAGTTTTCTAAAGCTACAGAATATTTTAGTCTTAGAAAAACCTCATGTGGCCCCAGAGTTTGGTACAAAAATATATCCCTGTAGCCATGTCTTTCTTACCTTCTTGGTTTTATGTGGATGTAATGCATATAAATGTCTGAAAGAAAACAAAATTAAATCAGACTGTTTTATTTAGAATGGACTTCCTCTATGTGATTTGAAATTACTAATTTTTCTTGTTTCTTTTTTAGTAATTTCATGCGCCAGGAGTGTTTGGATTCGAGATTTGTGTTTGACAGACCTCTTCCTGTTTCTCGTCTCGTATCTCTAATTGGAAGCAGTATCCTTTTTATGTTAGCATTTATGGATGTGAACTTTAAAGTATTTTGATACTTAATCCTTGTATCAGTTATTAGAAATCTGATAATACATAGCATAAGTAAGCTCGTGAAAATGTTAAAGTCAGTTAGTTTTCATTTAAATTTAGAAATGGATTTCCACATAATGTACGTCAAGTGTCTCCATGTGTGTGTAGGTGTGGGTGTTAGGAAATTTTCCCTTGGAAAAATGGGTACTAAATAAGGAATTGTGTTGACTCTTTCATCGGCCCTTGTAAGCAATTGATATTTTCCAGACGTAGATACAGGTACTCCTGCTTTTCAAAAGTTCACTTTATGCCACTTCACTTTTACGAAAGACCTACATTAGTACCTGCTTTTGCTAACTGAAGGAAATCTGAAGAAGATTTTCGCTTTTACAAAAAGTGAAAAGCAGAAAGGGCATTCAGCTTTTATTTTGCAGCGAACCGTTAAAGAGGGAGCGCACACCCTGAGCAGCCAGAGTGGCATCACCAGACTCCTTTTGTATCATTCCAGCTTTTACTGTATGTTAGTGTTATTTTAGGTTTTATGTGTTATTTGGTATGATTTGGTTTTTTGGGTCTGGGAACGCTCAAAAAATTTTCCCGTATAAATTAATGGTAATTGCTTCTTCTCTTTATACCATTTTAGCTTACAAAAGTTTTCATGGTAACGCTCTATTTTTGGATAGCAGGGGAAACCGGTAGTCCCATTTCCAGAAAACAATTCAAGGGTTTTTAGAGAAGTTTAACGTTTCTTATTAGTAGTTCTATGTCCTGGACCTCTTATATCCAAAGCGATAGTTGTGCTATATGGGAACAGATCAGTTTGCTAGCACTCGTTCTTGGGTTTGGTGAAGGGTCAAGTATATTTTGATGTTAAGCCAAAGAAATACTGCTGTGTTTTATTTTGTTCTTCCTGTGTCTAATATGTGGTGGATTATGCGACAATTAAAGAAGAAGCTACAGGTCTTCGTTATAATGCTTGATTAGTTTGAGCTATATTGAAAATAAAGATAGAACTTCATTTCTTGTTAGAACAGCCTCTTTAACTAGTTAAGAGACCCAGATACCAACGCAACGATATGGCCGGAGACCATATGGTGTGGGGCTGCTCATTGCTGGTTATGATGTAAGTTCATAGAGTATCGTTACATTTTACTGGTATTAAGAAACTACCTAAAAATTTTTGTAATTTTTAGCTAAACCAAAGTCAAAAATTGTGTAATGTATTTTTTCTGTTTGTAGGATATGGGTCCTCACATTTTCCAAACCTGTCCATCTGCTAACTATTTTGACTGCAGAGCTATGTCCATTGGAGCCCGTTCTCAGTCAGCACGTACTTACTTGGAGAGACATATGTCTGAGTTTATGGAGTGTAAGTGATAGCCTTTTTTTATTTGTTTTGTTTTTCTGCCTCCCAGTCTTTATATAGTGAATAAACAGTATCATCTTAAATAAAGAAAATGATCAGCCCTATAGAGTTTTTTTTCTTTTTTTAATTAAGTTATGAAGTGTTTATTGTTTCTGTCACACGTACTAGCTTTCCCCCTTTGGGCTACTGTAGCAGTTTCAGTCACCAGCTGAACTTTTTCAAAATGTAAATATGTTACCTCAACCTTGAAGATTCTTGATTCAGTTAGTTTGCAGTATGCCCCAGCCAGAGTTGAGAACCAGTGTACCAGCAACCAATTATAAGTTCTGTTTATAACTTTAAGTTTTCTGCCATTCTTCTCTTATTTTTAACCACACAGACATTTCTGCAGCACGTAGTCCATAAACCACAAGTAAAAAGACAGTGTAACTGTGGGAAAGAAAGGTAAAAGATGTAAGATGTGGTGATAGGGCAGGTTTTGCTTCACATTGCTTCACTTGGATCCTGATCTTTGGGGGAAAACATTCAATTATTTATTATTAAATCTAACCTTAGCTGTGAGTTTTTCTTAGATGCCCTTTATCAAGTTAAGAAAGTTCCTTTCTATTACTAGTTTGTTGAGTATTTTTATTATGCAAGGGTGTTGGATTTTATCAGATACTCTCTTTGTGTCTATTGAAACAATCATATGGGTTTTTTTTTCCTTCATTTTATTAATGTAGTGTATTACATTGAGCCAACCTTGCATTCCTGGAATTAATCTCACACTCATGGTGTAAAATCTTTTTTATATGTTACTGGATTCGGTTTGCTAGTATTTTGTTGAGGATTTTTGCATCTATATTCACAAGGGATATTGGTTTATAGTTTTCTTGTGATATCTGTCAGGTGTTGGTATCAAGGTGATACTGGCCACAGAGAATGAATTGAAGACTCCATTTTTAAAGAGCAAATACAAGAACTATCATTCTGAGTTGCATAATTTGTAAATCAGTACTTTGATTTAACCTAGCATAAGAAAAGGTCCAATTTAATGACAGAAGTCATGTATCTTCTCATTAAATAAAATAACAGCAATGTTACTTATGGTTATTAAAAGGTTTTATGAGTGGACATTAAACTTTTGGCTGTTCTTGTGACATATTTAGTATGTAGGTAAAACTAAGATTTCAGACTGAAGATGAAATTAAAAAATAATTGTTAATTTATTACATGTAGGCAATTTGAATGAACTGGTTAAACATGGTCTGCGTGCCTTAAGAGAGACACTTCCTGCTGAGCAGGACCTAACTACAAAGGTAAATATTACATTTCCCAGTGGTAGATGTTATTACAGTTTAGTCCTTTATTCTATAATGTAAGTAGTAGGTGAGTGTATACTTACAGTTGTTTAATTTGGCAGATGGTTGCTTCGGTTCGTTACTTCCCTTTAAGCTATTCACTAAATGACCTGATTTGAAATGTAATTTTTTTTTTTTAACTTTCTTTTGGTATAAAACAATAAAACCAGTAAGTCTAATATAGAATGTTTGTCATTTCTTCAGCAGATAGGTATATCTTGGTATTATTAATTCAGTCAACAAAGCTATATGTTGAGTACCTACCATGTGCCAGGCACTTTCTAGGCATTGAGCATTTGGTAAACACAACAGACAAACATCTTGGCCCCTGTGGAGCATACTTTCTAGTAGGGGGAGATAGACAATATACACATAAGTAAAGTGATAAATATTATAGGGAGGGGAAAAAATCAGTTAAGAGAAAGAATGACCAATTGGGTGTAGGTTATAATTTAAATTAGGGGAGTCGAGGAAGGCCTCACTGAGAAGGTGAAATTTGAGCACAAAACCTAAAGGAGATGAGGGAGCAAGGCTGTGCTGATATCTAGAGCAAGATCATTGTGGATAAAGGGAATGTAAGTGCAAAGGACCTGAGGCTGGAATGTTCCTCGTGATCAAGGCAAGGAGGCCAGTAGTGTTGGAGTCAGTGAGCAAAGGGAAGAAGAGAAGAAAAGTCAGAGAGGTAATGGAGGCCAGATTGTGTATGTCTTATAGGCCATTGTAGTTGCGTGGGATTTTACTGAGTGGGCTGTTAGAGGGGTTTCAGCAGAGGAATACGTGATTTGATTTTTAGGTTATAAGAGTGTTTTGAGAACAGATTGTGGTGGGAAAATGGATGGAAATAGTTTTAAGGCTGTTGAAGTAATTCAGATGAGAGATGATGGTAGATTACAGCAGAGTAATAGAGTTGGAGATAATGAGAAGTAGTTCAGTTTTGGATGTTTTGAAATTAGAGCCAAAAAGATTTGCTAACAAATAGGGTGTGAGTTGTTGGGGGCCGGGGGAGATGTCGCCTAAGTTTTTGACCTGATTAACTGGGAGGAGAGATTTATGATTTATTTAGATGGGTAGGACAGTGGAAGGAACAAGTTTTGGGTTAGGGCTTATGGGGGAATATCAGGCACTCAGTTTTGGACATGTAAGGTTTGAATTGTCTGTTGTTTGTCTAATTGGAGATGTAGGGTAAGCAGTTGGACCTGTACCCCCTGGAGTTCAGGGGAGAATGGTCTAGCCTAGACATATAAATTTTGGAGTCTTTATGTAGAAATGGTAGTTAGAGCCATGGGACTTGACTGGACAAGACAAGATTTGAGGACTGGGCCATGGGCACACTAACCGTTAGAGGTTGGGAGATAAGTAAGTGTCAGCAAAATAGACTGATGGCCAGGTAGGAGGAAAACTTGGAAAATGAGGCATCCTTGGAAACTATTTCAGGCAGGAAGGAATGATTAACTATGTAAAAAACTGCTAATCAAGGAAGATGCAGACTGAGAATTAACCATTGTATTAGCAATGATACAGTCTCTGGGGACTTGACAAGACAGTTTTAATGGAATGGTGAAGCAGAAACCTGATAGAGGTGGAATCAGGAGAGAATGGGAGAAGAGAAATGGGAGAAAACTCTTTGGAGGAGATTTTCTTTTGGGAATACAGAGAAATAGGGTGGTGGCTGGAAAAGGATGTAATAAGGGCTTTTTGTTTGTTTGTTTAAAGGGGAGAAATTACAGTGTGTTTGCCACATGGTTATGAGAATAATCCAGTGTAAAAGGAAGTATTTATATAGGAAAACTATGAGAGAAACTGCTGGAGCAATGTCCTTGAATAGCGTACAGCTGGAGGGTTTGGCGTTAGGAATTTGGACTATTCATTTAGAGTAACAGGAAGAGTGGGTGTCTAAGGGCATACATACAGGAAAGAGAGTAGATACACTGGGAGCTTGTTAAAGTTCTCTTCCAATTGCTTCTGGTTAGTGAAATAGGAGCAAGGTTCTGAGCTGAAAGGAGAATAGAGAATGTTAGGGTTGTCCAGGACAGTGAGAGATTAAATGATCTGGAGAACTTTATAGTTTGATCTGGAACCACTAAGGGCCTACTTGAAGTTAATGATCATTAATTAAAGTGAAGTCAGCATTATAAATTCAATTTTTTAGTGTTTGGAGAATTATTACTTAATATCTATGTGGAGATTTATAGCCTGTGTAATATTTTTTAAAGTATTACTCCTATTATAAAAATAATAACTATCTTTTCAAAAAAATTAGAAAAATTTAATTGTTTCTATTTGTTCAAAATACTCATCATGCTGTTATCCCATGGTGACTGGCTTTTTAGTTTGGGTATACAGTTGACCATTGACATTCACAGTTTGGAAAAGTTTCTTCAAGTATCTGGCTTTCTGATTTCATGTTTTTACTGAATCATGGAGGATGGCCTATGTGTCCTTATACCTCAAGTTTTCACTAAAATTTTAATATCACATGAGTTGTTTTCATACTGGTTAGTGTTCACTGAACATTTTTTAAAAATTGCTCTTTAATTTTCCCATGCAGAATACAGTTCCAACCCCCCACCAAATTTAACACTCTATAACCCAAAATTTATTTCCTGGTTAAGAATCAGTCATTTCTTAGCTTAAACAAAAACAAATTTAATTATTTTTTAGGAGTTAGACTTATTTTCCAGCTGAGTGACTTGCTCCCTAACACTGATCTCTAGCACATTCCCATTATGAGCCAAGTTGCTAATTTCTAGAGGTTATTTGTGATAATCACAATTGAATATTAAATCTGCAAATGACATGGGTTTACTATTTTCCTTCTAGCTTTTGTCCCTTGTACTTAAGTATTTTTAAGTCTCATTCAAATGCCATGTAAATTTTTATCCTGCTTTTTTCACTCAAAATTTTATCATAAACATTTTTCCAACCTAAGTTCTGATTTTTTTTTTTTCTTTTTCTTTTATTTTTCCCCTCAGAATGTTTCCATTGGTATTGTTGGTAAAGACTTGGAGTTTACAATTTATGATGATGATGATGTGTCTCCATTCCTGGAAGGTCTTGAAGAAAGACCACAGAGAAAGGCCCAGGTATATAAAATAACTAACCATAAAACATAAGAGCACGTTCTTCTACCTTAAACCACTGTTCCCATAACAACTGTGTAAATCTGCCATTTTTGTCTTTAATTATTAAGTCCATCATTCAAATGGTAGTAGGAAAATTAAGAACTAAGTAAAGTAAAACATTGAAGGGGCAGTGATTTCCATAAATACAAAAAGGGGAAAGGAATTGATGATTTGGTTAGGTATTGCTATATAATAAGCTACCCCAAAATTTACGGGCTTAAAAAGCAAACATTATTACAGTTTTGTGGGTTGACTGGGGCTCAGCTGGATGGCTTTTTTTGCTGGTCTCACTTTGGGTGTCAAATGTTGCAGACAGATTAGGGAATGGGACTAGAACGTCCAACATAGCTTTACTTAGATATCTGGTGCCTTGGAGGGACAGCTAGAATGCAGAGACCTCAGCTGCAATGGCTGGGCCTTGTCTCAGGACCTCTCTTTTACCACGGTCTCTAGCAGGGTAGCTCAGGGCTTGCAAAATTTCAAAATTAGAAGCTGCCAGGCTTTTTTCAGGTGAGGCTCAGGACTAGCACAGCATCACTTTTGCACATTCTTTTGGTTAAAGCTAGTCACAGGGCTAGCCCAGATTTGATGTAGGTGGGGACTAGAAGTGGTTAGTTGGGAACCAGCTTTGGAGACTTAAGTTGGCTCTTCATAAATAGTGAGAAAAAGGTTCAAGAAGTGTTTGAACCTCAGGTTAAATAGGGGTCTTATTGGATATTTAGAATACACATTGCTTCTTAGAGATGTGTATTTGATGGTTGTATAATTGAAAATAAAGAAATAGACTGTGCAGAAATTTCTTCTACAGCGTGAGTTTTTTCAACTTGCCAAGGATATTGTTGGTATTATTTGGATTATTTAAACTGCTGTCAGTTACGTGAACTAACACTGTGAAGAGTGCCACACAGCTGATTTATTTGATGGTATTTGTGCTGTGTTTATTGGCGGTAAAGGGAATAAGAATGTCTAAAAAGTGCTGATTGTATTTTAGGGCTAGTAGTGATAATATTAGGAAGGCCTTTACTCTTGAGCAAGAGTGAAGTTTGATAAAATGCTGGAATTATTCAATGATGTTTAGATTTTCAGAGCTGTAACTATATCTATAAACTGTAATTATATCTATTTTTAGACGACTTTGTTCAGAAATTTTGCAGGATAATGAACTAAAATTGGGTATCCAAAATATCTCCTAACCCCCTTTTTAAAAAAGTATTTAAGAAATAATTTTCATAGTGTAACATTCATGATTAGAAGTATCTCTTGATCATGCTCGTGTTTTTTGTTTCTTTCTTTTCTTTCTTTTAACATATTTTCTTTTTTCTTTCCCCCTTAAGCCTGCTCAACCTTCTGATGAACCTGCAGAAAAGGCTGATGAACCAATGGAACATTAAGTGATAAACCAGTCTATATATGTATTATTAAATATCTAAGAATGCAGGAACGTAACTGGATGATAGTAATCTATACTTTAAGAATCAGAAGATGCAGAGTGGTAGAATGGTATGTTTTAGGAATTAGTCCAGATGTGAGTTTTTTCCAGGCAACCTAATTGAAACTGTATAAGGGGGTTCATTTTTCTTTGAGAGGGTCTGTATGATCATTTTCTAGAAAGTATAGGGTATCTGTACTGCTGTTTTTATATGAAGAACATAGTGTCTTTGTGGTTTTAAAGACAACTATGAAATAAATTTTCACCTGGTGTATTGGTTTTTTTTGTTTGTTTTTAAGTAGCTTCAACTGTAAATTGTAATCTGGGATTACAACTGGTATTTGCCATGTTGCCAAATTACCTTCTTTTTAGTGATGTGGAAAAATAATACTTCTTAACAATTTCCCAATGTATGGCTGGCTGCATGAGAATCTCTTGGAGATATGGTTCATAATACAAATTCTTAATTAAAACCTAAGAAACTACCACTTCTAACAAATGTACCAAGATTATTAACATATGAGCTCCTTTTCTTTTCAACCAGCAGATGGCAGTAGTGATAGCTCTGATCTCTGCATAGTCAACTAGTGTAAAAATAATAAAACGGACACTTTAATCTAAAACCATCATTTCCTCTTATCCTTCTAGCCCCACTCCAGCATAGTATTCAGACTGCCTTCTCATTATTCCTATAAGCAGGGGCGGATTACCCAGTAAGTACAGTATGCACCGGCTGATAGTAAGCGAGGGACAGTAAGGAAGGTGCGCGTGGGCTGAATTGTGTTTACTAATCTGTAGTTTTTAAAAACCAGGTGAAACTGTGCACTACAGATTAGTAAGGAAGCACAATTAAACCTGTGCATACCATGCTTATTGGGTAATCATCCCTGCCCGTGAGCTATGTACACAGATATTGCAGAATAATTTTTATTTTAGACCATGCAAATGAAATTAGAGGAAATCTGACTTTTTGTTAAAAATCAACAATACCAAACTTCTACTGCTAAGAACAAAACTACGAAAAATAGCACCTAGGGTAATTAGTGTTAAGTTGCTGAGTGATCTCTCACAGCTGGTGATGGAAACTGTGATGGCCAATAACCCATTACCCATTGCCGTCGAGTCGATTCCAACTCATAGTCACCCTAAAGGACAGAGTAGAACTGCCCCATAGGGTTTCCAAGGAGCACCTGGTGGATTCAAACTGCCGACCTTTTGGTTAGCAGCCGTGACTCTTAACCACCACGCCACCAGGGTTTCCGTGATGGCCGATAGAAACTAATTGGCCCTCCATCTCAATGGGTGCCCAGGGCATGCACAGGCTGCCCAGGGCACACGCCCTACCTGCGACCCCCCACCCCCAATTAGGCCTCTGGCTAAGAGGCATACACACTGCCATCAAGTCGATTCCGATTCATACCGACTCCATAGGGTTTCCAAGGTTTTAAGTCTCTACAGAAGCAGACTGCCACATCTTTCTCCTGCGGAGCCGCTAGTGGTTTCAAGCTGCCCACCTTTCGGTTAGCAGTCAAGCGCTTTATCCACTGCGCCAAGAGGCATAGAGCAGTTATTTATTTTCTGAGCTATTACATGCTTTTAGAGAGGAGAGGTTTATAGATAGGAACCTAGATTTTAGTCCCAATTTTACCAATTAGCTGCATTGGCTTTGGGCAGGTTACTTAGCCCTATTTTAAGGAAACCCTTTGGAGAATCATTGTGAAGATTAAATTGGAGAATTGATGTGAAAACGTTTTGTAAACTGTAAAGTCAGTAAGATGTTAAAAAAATTTTTTTCAGGTTGCTCAAAATTTAAAAAGCTTTAGTGAGTTTAAATCTTTGTGACTTCCTAAAGGGAGAGTAGTAAGAGAAACCGTGGCTGCCTAGCTGAGAGAAAGACCTCTTACTAAGTACTGGAACCTGTGAGATGTTGGTCTCTGGAAGTAGCCTCAAGGGTAATCAATCTGCCATTTAAGCTTGGGACCAGGCCACAATTACCATGTGACCATTTGATCTACAATGACCTACATCAAGCACGTGTAACTTTCACACACACACACACACACACATACAAATAACAAACTAGTGAAGGAGAGGGACTTTTCCCACCTGCCATCATTGCCAAAATGAGTTTATAGCCTGGAGAGGGAGCATAAGTGGGAAATTTAATAATCTCTTTCCCTTAGCAAGGTCTCGTGTCCCTTGCACCTTTCATTGTGAGAGCGCCTGTCTTTGCTGAGTGATTCTGTTTTATTTAAAGATAAAGACTATGTGCATCATTGTGTTTTTGTTTTTGTTTTGTACTTGTACCCTAAATGCAAACCAAGTACTTGCCTTGGTGCTCAGCTGAAAAAAAAAAGTGATCTCTATTGTACTTTAGGGGCAATTTTAGTAATTTTTTACACTATGTGATTTTGGTCTTATCCACTGACTCTAGAACTTAAAATCCTCCCCACCCCAATAACATTCAGCCATACCGTACGTACAAAGTTCATTGTGATGCTCTTTCATGTTGTTTGTCTAGTCTGTTATATTCGAAGTTATTCCATTTAACCTGTGTTGAGTAATTATAAATGATAAAATTTCTAATAATGTCCCCTCTATTAACAATTAGATGATGCATAAAACCTATCACCTTGACATAAAGATAATCACCCAGAATTTGTTGAACATTTATATGTGCAGCTCTGAAGAACTGGCATGGTTAAAAATAAAAGGCACTAAAGTAGGTGACAGGATTAGGTTCTAATCCTAGCTTTTTCAGTGTTTGACCACTGTGATTTTTGGGCAAGTCACTTTTCTCTAGGTGTCAATTTCCTAGACATCTAAATTTTTATGATTTTTGAAATATGACAAGGTCCTTGCTCTCAAATAATTTATAACCAGAAAAGCATTCAAAGTGCTATAATTACCTCCTAGAGTAAAAAGTCCCAAAACAAAAGTGCATGTTATATCAGGAAAGAATTAGTGAGGCTGTACAAGGTCCTGATACCTGTTCAACAAGGTTTGTATTCAAGAAAAAAAAAAAGGTTTAATGTACCATCCAAGCCAATTTTAGGTGTAGATCTAAAATAAAGTTTTATAAAAGATACTACATTTTCTTGCCTTTTCATATTAGTTTCCTTAATGACTAGGGCTCATCTTGATAAACTTCAAGATTTATTTAATAAAATGAGCCTTGGGCATCTGAAGTGGGTATGGTTGATTTTATGCTATTGGTGGCCCCAAACTGCTGAGCTTTCTTATTGCTAAGTAGTTTCGTTTGGCGGGTGGGGGTGGGGGTACTAATTTTCTGCTGACAGATTGTCACTTGTTGCTAAATAAAATAGGCTTGGGAACAAAATAACTGCATTTGTAAGAATTCCATGTTAAATAACAGAAAAGGAAAGGATTATTGATACATCTCGGAGCTCAAAGGAATAATGCTGAGTCAAAAAAAACAGTCTCAAAAGGTTACATTGTATGATTCCATTTATATAAATGAAATGACAAAATTAGAGAGATGGAGAACATTTTAGTGGCTGCCACAGGTTAGGGACAGAGGAAGAGTGGGAGGTGACTGGCTGTGAAAAGGTACCAAGAGGGGTCCTTGTGATGGAACTTTTCTGTATCTTGACTGGTATGGTTACATGAATCTAAACATGATAAAAGTGTATAGGAGTAAATACACAAATGAGTGCATGTAAAGCTGGTAAAATCTGAATAAGGATGGGTAGATTGTATCAAAGTCGACTTCCTGGATTTGATATTGTACTATAATTGTGCAAGATGCTACCATTAGGAGAAACTGGGTGAAGGGTATGGGGATCTCTGTTATTTTACAATGTGGATTATCTCAAAATAAAAAGTTTTTTTAAGAAAATGAATATGCAGCATCAGAGGGCACTCAAAGTGCAGTGTACACATAGACCTTGTGACATATTTTGGGTGGTCAAAGAATTTTTTTGCTTAATGGTTCCAAAAAGGAGAAATCTCAAAATAGATGGATTCTAGATAGATGTGGCACTATAAGGACAGATTCTGTCAGATCTCTTCGTATGTTTTGTTCAAGCCTTTGAATGTTTAGTTATTAAATTTGCCAGAAAACTTACTGGGGGGTGGGGCAGGGGGAAGGCAGCGGGTAAGGAACCTCAAATGGACAAAACCAAAAGTGCTACGGCTGACTATAGCTCTAACAACCTGCGGAAATCGGTAAAATATTTTAAAAACATTGACTGTCAATCTCCCTTTATACATAAAGAGTTTACCCAGTTTTAACCTACTGGGTGCTCGGAAGGGATTACAAGAAGGACTATTACTAGATAAAAGGCATAAATAGCATCCGTGCGACTTGGATGTTCCAACCTACCCCAGCCCAAATGCAGAGGCGGAGATCCAGAATACTGGGGATGTTAAGAGCTGAAATGGATCTTCCAGAAAATCTAGTGTTCCTTATTAGAAGAACTGGAGTTACTATACCAACTAGTAATTAGTTACTTTCCCACTGATTAATGGGTGAGCTAGAAAAGAATCTTGGGCTTCCAGCTCCCAGTTCAGGGTGCTTTCCACTGGACTACAAAACCCTGTAAAATTATCTCCCCTATCTACTAGTACTTCTTCCCCTTGGCTATTTCACTTCCTGGAAAAATGAACAATTTCCAAGTAGCGTTTAAGTGACCATAGCGCTCAGTTTAGCGCTTCGCTTGTAGGGAAAAACTTAAAATTCGTGTTTCCACTCGGTGACCTAAAGCACTCGTGGACAAGACACGGGCGGAGGGTGGGGGCACGGGGATAACCGGACAGACTTGCGGTGCGCAACTGCAGGACGGAGAAGGTATGTCCTCTCTGCGTTGCCGTAGGTGCTAGGTGGCTACGTTCCCGACCGCGTCTCCACCCTGTTCCACGTCAGCCGAGGTCTCTGAGAAGCTGCTGCTGCTGCCGCGGTTTGGAACCGAAGTAGACGGTTCCACCGTTGCCCCAGCTGCTGCCCCTCGAAGCCAGGTAGCGGGCCACTGGCCCCAAACCCTGGAGGTGTGGAGGGCCGGGCAGAGTCGGGAGAACTGGCTTTCTAGCAGGAAGATGCGGAAGGGGAGCGCCTAGGCCGCTCGCGTCGGGGCCTGGCGAAGGGAACGAGGGGCTGGGGAGCTTTGGACCGAACGCCTTATCCGGGCTTGCGTACTGGCCAGGGGCCTTCTTCCTCTTAGGACACCGAGGCTCGCCCTTTCAGTGCAAGACTTGCTTTGCAGGAGGAAGACGAGGGAGCGTGGGGTGGGGGCGGGAGTGCAGCGCAGAGAT